TGCTCATTGCTTCAGTGATGCTATCTAACCATCTCATCCTCTGCCGTCCTCTTCTCCTTTTGCCTTCAATCTTTCCTTTACTTAAAACATCAATAAAGATGTTTTTATTCAACCAGGTCGCAAGGGGATCACTATTCATATTGTGGCCCCCTCATCCTTCAGCAATAATGGAGCCAAGGGTGGTAGGAAACCACAGATAGGGCTGAACTGACGAGAGCTACTGAAAATTTAGCAGAGTCTTTGTGTAGCTCCAATCAATTTCAATCCTAGGGTGGTGTAGAATGATGTTATTTTAGCAGAACATATCGGAAGCTGTCCATGGTGCTGATGACTTCTTGCCTGACTTTGTTAGTCAGCCCAACTAGGCTTATATGATTCCATCTGACTTCCTTTGCCCAAACCTATTTAACGTAGTTCTTTCCTGGACCAAAAGCATATGAACATTCTCACCTGGTTCTGCACACTATTCATCATCCTGGTGTAACGAATCATGGGTGCATCTTTATGCCTGGCTGGTGGCTGGGCTGCAAGTGGCAAATTAATTTCCTTAGGTGGGGCCAGTTGGCCGAACTGCATGTCGCCCTGCGGTCCAACTCCATCGTTGTGTGAAATCTGGCTTTCATGCACCAAGTTCTCTTCTCCCTGGCGTTTGATACCAGGGGCTGGAATGGCAAGGGAGCTCCCAGCTGGAACTGCAACTCGGTCCTGTGATCTCAGAGGTGTTTTTATGCCGTCGCCCTTGGAAGCCTAGAAAGAGGACCATAAAGTAGACTTGGGAAAGACTGTCCAGAAACAAAAAAGAGCAACCAAGTGTTGGCAGGATAGAGTGTTTCTGCTCAAGGTTCCAGCAAGCCAGACTGCCAAGTCTTCCTCCATGAAACTCCATTTCATTCTCCCCTTTCAGTGCCAGTGAAACAAATTCAATTCTTTTTGAGCTCTTCTGCTGATTTTTGGTGCCCAATTCTTGTTTCTCTATTGTTCTAAGCCTTTGGGCTTCTCCAGTCCTGCTGGTCCTGTTCTGGCTGCATAAAAATCCAGATTTGGAGAAAGATTTCTCCAAAAATATGGAATGACATTGATGGACTCAGTGGGCTACTAACTGGAGTGAGATATTGGAACCACACCATATTAGCCCTTAAGGAATCGCTCTGGCTTCTGGTCCCTTTCCTAGCACATTTCTAAGTCTCATAACTTATCTTGGCATCTCTGCCAAGTTTATGATGTGCTAAGATTTGGTAAATAACCTGCCCATGTCCCATTTATTTATTATGGTGATATACATCCTGCCTTCCAATGCAACGTATAAATTCCCCCCAAATATACATAGTGAGAAAAGTGTGACGAAATGAGAAGCTTACAATCCAGTAGGATGCATCCTATGTAGCTCGGGGAAGGGGTATTAGGGGAGGAAAAGTCCATCTGGAGGAAGCTCAGAATGGACTTTGTAGCTCTCCTTCTCTAAGGTCACCACTGAACCTTCACCTTCTGAAGTGGGGCAGGCAAAACTGGACATAAGCATTTTGGCACCCAACCTTAGATAGTTTCCCAGCTGATTTCAACAGCACTTTGCTACAGGGCAGTTTGGTGGACAGGCAGTGGAGAAATAGAAGTGGGCTTGGTTTTATCCTAATTCCTTGCTTATTAAAAAACCCAGGCCTAAAGAGGACAAGCCTTGTGCAGTTCTAGATGAAATGAACTTGGGACCAGCCTGGCATTCTCCCTGACATTTCAAAGCAAGAGGCCAAGACTTTGGAAGGGGAACCAAGAACTGGAAATATTGTACCTTTGGCCTAGCAAGCTGGAACATGCTTAGCTCCAGAGGCCGACCATGATGATGTTGCACCTGCTGCTCTTTGGCTGCTCCCGTGTCCTTAAAACTTGGCATCTTTTGAAGGGTTTCCTTGAGCTTCCGAAACTCTTCTATCTGGACCTGGAGGGAGAGCAAAGAAGAGGCTGTTCACAACATTCCCAAAGTTTCAGACTTTCAAAACAATACGTAAGAGATCTATTAGATCAGATCAGGGACCCCCTGAATCCCTCTAGGAGGTAAAGAAGCTCAGATCAGTCTTTCTTGTTGTTCTTTCCCAACAAGCCTCCAAGTTGTCCTTGATCTACCTTCTCTCCACAAATTTGTCTAATCGCTTTCAAAAGCCATCTACCATAATGGCCTTCGTATCCTGAGACAGTGAGTTCCCCAAGCTAAATTCCCTCTGCCTTAAAGCGGCCTTTCCTTTGGAGCATCCCAGGTTGCCTTTCAGCCGCCTTTTGGAAAATTGTAATCTTTTGTTAAGGGAGACCCATCTTTCTAGTTTTGGCTATGTTGGCTGTGAACCATAGGAGCTGAAGTTCAGCACCTCCAGACGGGGCCAAGGGCTTCCCCAGAGAACTGAGCATCGTAGTTGATTACCTGAGCATTGAGAAGTTGTGAGTGAACATCCTGGTGGGCTTTACGAAGTAACTTGCTTTCTTCTCTTAGTTTAAAAACAGTATCTAGAAAATCAATTCAGTCCAGTTCAGTTCAAAGGCATTCTCCCTTCTTTCAGTGCCCCCCACTCACACAGCCCTCTGTGTCCTCCCCACCTTGTAATCCCACCACGTCGTGGTCCCTCTCCTGCTGCAACTGGGAATATTTCTGGTTGTGGGTCTCCATCGCTTTGCGATGCTCCAGTTTCAGCCCGTTGTGTTGCAACTGCAAGTCCAAAAACTGCTTCTTGACTTCTTCATGCTGGTTCTGGGGAGAGGCAAATCCAAACCAAAATATGGGAGCAAACCCTAAAAAGAAGTGAATTTCTCATTCCGTCTTCCGAGGTTTCACAATTTATAGTGTGTACTTTTACCTGTTTATCCTAAGCCCAAATGGGCAGCTGGAAGGCAGAGTCCAAGCTATTTAAGTACAGTAGCAACTAGAGAGGATTTTCCCCTAAACTTGATATCTGGAGGGAATAAAATCCAGTTGGATTTCTCTCTGAGATACTCTCTGCAACAGACTTGCTGGGCCTGGATTAGCATGGGATCAAGCATGTCTGCCTTTCTTTCTTTCTTTCTTACTTAACATATATTTATCCAATTGAGCTCATTTTGCATTTGTCTCAAGGACAGTTTCTAACTGAAGCAAAACAAGCTGATCCTGGAGGTCTTAAGTCTGTTCTCCCTGAGTTAGTCTTGGGGAAATGCACGCAGGGCTGCAGCCACTGTTCCATCAAACAGGACTGACGCATAATCGATACCCCCAATGACACGACGCAGTGGCGCAGTGCTACTTAACATGGCCAAGTTTATGAGCGAAATAATTGCTGCTTCTATTTGAACAGCAGAACAGAGAGATTTATGGGATCTTCGGCCAGCGAGCAAGCAGGCCCTGGCCTGTTTCCATCCCTGGATTGTCCAGTGTGTGTGTACGTGGTGGGTGGATGTGCTAAATTGAATGAAGTAGAAATATTTCCCATTCTAGCCCTCTGTGCTTGCCACCTTCCTCACTGTCTCTGCAACCCCCGTGTGATCTGTGGCAATTATGATTGCCAAGATCAGCCATGAAAAGCCAAACCTGCCAGTTCCTACAGTTTTAAAAGCCTCTTGTTCCCAAAGTTGTCTAGCTGTCCACTGTTGGAAACAGGCGGCTAGATTTGACAGACTCTTGTTCTGGTCCAAGAGTGCTGTTCTTATTCGAGGCAGGGCAGCAAACCTCTGATTAATAAAGAGTTGGAAGAAACAAAATGGCTTTGCTCAGGTTTGTCTTGTGGGTAACTTGAATGTCGATAGCTGCTGAAAAACAAGATCTGGATTACATTGCCCTGAATATAGAAGAGTGCTTTCCAGTGAGAGCCATGTCCAGAGAGCCACAGGCTACCCAGACTAACCTAATTTAGAAATATGAGGAGAAGAAGGGTCTACTTACCTTTAGGATCTTGTGCTGTGAACTTAAGGCACCATATCTGTTCATAGAATCTTGCTGCAATGATAAAATCACAGTAATAATTCTAACTATGCAAATTGTCTCTCTTGCTCTTAAACCTACATAAACACCCTCCAATTAACCCCTTCCCCAAGCTCACACAATGCATTAAATCACACTCCGAGCAAATAAACTAGGACTTTACAACATGGCCAAGTCCCCTTGCAGACTCAGAAAACCTAAATGAGCACATAGTAAAAATGCCACCACTCAATCGTAACGTGTGGCGTGAACAGTCCCTTTACTAAAGACAACTTTAAGTCCTGCCACAGAGCTGAGAAGAAAGATCACAGTGGCCAAATAACTTTGTTTTGCAAATCGTATTTCCCAGTTTCCTTTCCGGAGAACTCAAATAAGGATGGGGTAGCAAAGGATGGGAAAATAATGTTATATTCTTGGAAACCATCTTGAGTGCCAGATAAGTGGAAAGGCAGGGTACAAATCTTTTGAGAGGGAACAGTTGCTGTTCAGCACGTGTTAGGGACCACGCCCCTCTTTTATTGGGAAGAGACCTGGTGCTCTTGGGGTGTTCAAACTATTTTGGAATGATCGAACTCGAGAGCAGGGGGCACAAAAATTTTAGGACTGGGCCTTCTGAGAACTGTATAAAGGACTATTCTCCTCTAAATGGGGGCAACCAGACAAAATGGACAGTGCCCAAGAGGGAAACTTACACATTCCATTGAAATCTAGCACAGCTCGGATCGAGATCATCCCAAACTCTTCTCCCTCCCTTTCTTAAATATGCAGATACCTTCCAAAGGGATCCCGTTCGACCCACCTTTTCTTTATTGAGTGCTTCCTGAGCCTCCAGTTTGTATACTAAAAAATCTAAAAGGCAAAGCAGGAAAAAAAAAAAAGGGAGGGAGGGAGAAATCAGTGAGATGGAATTTACCGAAATCTGGTTTACATTGCAGAGAAGTCTTATGAAGTTAATAACCCTAACCCCTAACCCTAACCCTGACCATCACCTATCAGTTCTGCCATGAGCTTCTTAAATAATACCAACTCCAGATTATCTTATGAAATCTTCAATGCCAGACAATTATCATGATTGCACTAAAGAGACATAGAAGGTATTTCATGACATAGACATTCTGTCCTTCAAGATTTCACCACTCATTTCTGCCTCACGGCCTATAGAACCTGCCTCCGTCCGATTAAGCATAAAGAATTAAATCACACTGGAACTATCCTTTCAAAAGAAGGGATTATCATCTAGGAATGGAAAAATACCTTCTTTCGTCTTCTTGTGCTCGCTGCGTTCTTTCTGCAGTGAACGTTCGAGCCGGGATCTGTGTTCGTAAACAACTGCAACGGAGTTGAAAAGAGAAGTACGTAGAGTAACCGACAAAATACAACCTCTACATTCACACAACTAGATTTTTTTTTAAAAATTGAGTTCTAAACGTTTGCGTTCGGTTCAGTCCTCCCCAGAAAATGGGCTGAATGAAATGTTCATCCATCAAATTCAGTAGAGGGAGATAGGCACCTCATGAAGGGAATTATGTTGTTGCTATTATTATTATTCCTGCCTGCCCCATAGCGATTAAAGATCAGAACCTTGCCAGAAAAACTAAAACTAAAACACAGAATACTGATCTAGTGATTAGGGTGATAAAGACAACTGCAACAGAACTGCTCCAACATTCTGATCATTCACAGAAAACGAAGCGTGAAAGAATACAACATTTGATCCACTTGATTAAGAAACCGTGTTCAGAGTTGCTCTGATCGTTGATCACAACTGCACTGCATTTTTAGTTTAGTCTCTTAGAACATAAGTCTTTCAACCTTTATGTTTCACTTACCCCCTGACTCTTTCCCACCAAAATTACAGGCAAAAGTTTGGGGAATTTTAAGAGATGTGGAGTGGCAAAAGGTGCACCTTTGGAAGACCTGAGAGACCAGATGAGGGGCAGATCCTCATGGAGAAAATCTATTTATGTGGTTGCTAGGAGTCGACAAGGACTTGATGGCACGTAAAATGAAATTGGAAGATGGCTTTGGAAAGCACTCCTAATTCAGCCTGAAAGTAGAAAATGACCTTACACAAAAGCCTCTGTCCTCAGCTAGCATGTGGTGCTTGAAATTGTTGCTTTTACCTTTGATTTTTAAAAATGGAGAGAGGTTAGCTGTTGTTCTTTTTCCCTCCACTAAGTGAAAAAAAACTGAGGCCTCTCTTTCAAATCCTGGATATTTAACAATGTTTTTGTAAGCTTGAAAAGGGAGTTGGGCTTTCTACAAAGCCGAGGTGTGTTTTTTTTTAACTCTCTGATCAAATCTTAATAGTCTGGCAGGGAAACGGAGCAGTTGGATCAGGTTTGAAGTTTCAGAGAACAGTTGGCAGCAGCACACTAAGGACTAGAAACATGCACACTTTTCAAAATGCTCAGATCTGTGAGGCGGGAGGGTTGAATTTGGCAGCTCAGGCTAAAGTTGGTTAGATTTTCTGCATTTCACGTCAGGCACGCAGCCCTGTTTTTGCTTGGCGGCTGGAGCAGTCCCATTTCTACAGTTTCCGCTTGTGGATCAGCTCAGAATTTGGGAAGGAAAATTGGCTTTTCTACTTTTGATATCCCTTGAAAGGGTCCATCCAACCTGCATTGTGTGCTTCAATTCTGAGCTTCACAGCAGTGTCTCGCTGAGTCCAGTGCGACAGGATGTGAAGAACTTTGGACGTTTACCCTAACGAACAAGGATAAGGCCATGGATCTAAGAAGAATTCAAATATCACAGCCCTCTTCCCTCTACCTTTTCCTCTTTCAGATATTTTTTTAAGATTTACAAAACCTTTGTAAAAGTGGACTACAACCAACTACGATACTAACAGACAAAATGCAGCAGTGGTTATATAGTGAGAAAAGGATCTATGTTGGTAGTGATTAAAATAAACTAAACAGGACAAAAAAGAAAGAAAAAAAATAGTTTAAAAAAAGAAAGAAAAAGGATCCATATACTACTCATTGAATATCAATGTCGAATTAATTCAGTCCTTAAGGTGATTATTAGAACTAGACTATGTGGAACCCTATTGCTCATCTCATTTTTTTAGAGCATAAAAACTTTCAAAAATAGATAATCAATATCCTGAATCCCTTTCTTGAGGTTAGGAAGATAAATTTCTTCCCAATTATGTAAGATGATTCTCTTTGCCAAGTCTCAGCCTTGGTAGAGCAAAACTCTTCATAAAATGACAACATCCATATTTTAGGAATCGAATTTAACATCACATTTACATCCTTAACTATTATATTTCTTTCCAATGTAGAATTGACAGATGCTATGATTTGAAAACAAAAGGAAGCTATCGCTGGAAAAGACCCAATTATGTGAGTCAAAGAACCCTCAAATTAGTTACAATGCCAGCACACCCACACACACACACACTTGATATCCAACTCTTTTAAAATATTCTCTGAGGGATCCAACAGACACAAAATAATATTTTCTAATGAATTAATGTCATTCTTGTCAAACAAAATGTGCTTGACATTTCTTAAAACCTGGGACCCACTGATTTTCCAAGACTGGGTAATTTTTCGGAATGATGCTAACCTTCCTTCTATTTTTTAATTCCTTATAAAAGTGAGTTGTTAATTTTGACTTATAAGTGCTCCATCTGTAAAGGATCCTAGGATTGCAGGTATTCTAAGGCCACTAAAGCATCAGGACTGTACTGTTTAAACAGGACACAGTTCAATTATATTTATTATCAGGTGGATATTACTGGTAAATCTTTTTTTTCAGATCTGATGGAAAGGGGTATGTGACACTCAACGAGTGGAAAGGGAAGTTATTATTGTTACTCTGTTTTTTCTGGCAAAGAAAAAGAGGCTAAATTTAAATTGGTCTCTGGTCCTGAACTGAATCAGCCACCTCCCAACTTTTGCAATTTTACACGCTGCTCTTCAAACCCAGGTTTCCCCAGCGTGGCTTCCGAAACATTTTAAAAGGAAGTTTAAACATTTAGACCCCAAACGACAGGTTAAAATGCACAACACACAGACAAAAATAATCCCTAAGGAAGAAAACAGCAGAGGGCAATACAGTACATTAAAAGACTTCACTGTGGTTGAAATTAGTGTTAAAAAATTGCAACCCTAAAGCCATCACTAATTGATACCATATTAGGTTCAACCAAACTCCACCCACACGTATGGAAACTTCTGAGTTTTCCCACACTTTTCATCAAGTTCAATAGAAGCCCTCCAAACGGGATGAAAAGAGGTTCAAAAATGAAGCCAACCACTTAAGAATACGCATGGATTTAGCAGCGCTTTCTCCTGCTGTAGGTTTGGTACCACTTCAGAAGAGCTTCCATTTCCCTTGATCAGGATTGCAAGCTGTCGTGGCTAACTGAGCTGCTGAACCAGATTAATTTAAGGCCCCAAAATCAGACCTGGATGGCGCCAACCGAGAAGGCCACCTACAGTCTTATTCAGCCATCGTGGGCAGTTCCTAAACGGCTTCTTTAAAACCTCGGGAGGAACAATGACAAATAAAGCAGGCTTCGTTTTGCAAACATTTCCAGCATCGCAAACCCACTGGCGGAATGCCAAGTTAAGACAGCATCTTCCTCGCGGGCTTCGTGCAAGGTTTCAAAACAACCTTTCTCCGTTGGCTGCCCATTTGGGCTGTAACCTTTTCTTCCAGGAAGAAAAATAAAACAAAAAAGTCGGGAAGGTCATCCTGCTTAGACAAAGGCCACCCGCTCTTCAAAAATCAGGGCGTGAGAGAGGTTTTCCTAGAATTGGGGGGCCTTAGAGATCATTTGGCCCAACTTCATGGCTAGAATTGCATTTTCACCTGCACGTACACCTGAGTTCAGTATTAGCAGGAGTTTTCTTTACATCAAGGCGGGGTTCTCACAAAAGGTTAAAAAAAGAGGTTGATCAGTTTGTGGCTCGCTGTGTTGTCAGAACCCATCCCTTGTCCCAATGCTGTGGATGAACCAGGCTGAAGCTCTAATAGGATCGATTTCTTTGAAAACCTGTGGCTGGTGACGTGAACACAACCGTTTTGTGAACTCAGGTTTTCTGCATGGCACGCAACAAAGAGTGTCGTGGCACGGGGAAACTTGCCAGATTATAGGCAAACGATTAGCCCATGGATGGTTTTGCTGCAAGGGACTAGTGTGGAAAAGCCGCACATGAACCGATGGCCTTTGCTAGGGTTTTCTCTCAAGCCTAACTGGATCTAAAAGGTCTCTGCTTCTTTGCTGATCTATTCTAGGAAACAGCTACCAGCTGGAAAACCAGGCCAGGCACGCCAACCATAATTACCGGAATGGGCACTCGGCCAGAATTTCTGAGCTAATGGCCAGGTCCTGTGCCAAGGAGCAAATATAAAAATTGCACAAACAAGCAGGCTGGAATGAACACACACACACATATATATAAGCAATGGGTCGCAAGGATCTTCAGAGCCTGAATACGTGTGCATTTACATCTGGAGAAGACTCATGAAAGGCCTCCTTTCCTCCATGTGAGCAAAGTATTCTTTCGGCCAGCCACACAGAGCAGAGTCTGGAGATTTCTTCTTAACCCAAAGCCTACCCTGTCTCGGTGGCCCTCGGTTATATAGTTTTGGCAGGTTTGGGCAGTCAAAGCAAGGGAGCAAAAATCCCCTCCCAAACTTATTGTTGCTAGAGGCGGAAAAGGAAAAGAAAATAAGCACAGTGCATTGTTCGCCAGAGAAAGTAATCAGCGTTCTAAACTTCCACCAAGTTTAGGGAAACTTCAGATACTCCTGTTTCACTGGGTAACAAGGGAGCTTGGCACATGGTCAGAAAAAACAGACTGCAGGATGAGGGTAGATAAAACAAAATTCACTTTCCGTGTGCCAGCCATCCTGTCAGGCCCAAATCTATGGCACACCATTCCAGTTCCTTATCCTGGTTTCCTTCCTATCCTTCCCCCAACAGTCATTTTCTGGCAATTAGCATCCTTATAGAACGAATATTTTGGAATGGCTCTTTCAGTCTTTTTTCCCCTCTAAAGATTGGAGGGTCTGTCAGAAGAGAGAAAATACTTTTGCAAACCTCTCAAAATACCTCTTTCTAATCTAATACCTAATCTTCCTTTCTTTTCATAAAGATCCCATTTAGAGAATGAACTTGGACTCGGGATACAGCAGCCAAGGGGTTGGGGACTACAATTCCCATCTTTCCTGGCCAGCATGGAAGTTGTAATCCATTATAGCCAGAGACTGCAGAGTTAGGAAAAGATTAAAACCCTCCTATTAGCAGAATTTACAGGGTGCAATAATTTGTATTGTTTTTGTTATCAATATCTTCTCTCTCTTTCCCCATTCACTAGTAAAAACTGCATTTGTCTTTCTGAAATATATATATGCTGTTTTCGAATCTCTTCCTCCTTTTTTTTCCTGACTTCAAACCCCTCCTTTGATCAACGTCTTTGCATCTGACATCTGAAATCAGTTCCAAAATAACCAATCTAGACGATACTACCAGCTGTCAGAATTAAACATTCTCCAGAAGAGCGAGAAAGAGTATAGTCAGACATTGGATAAGGATAGATTGTGACCCTTATTTTTCAAAAGGACTAACAACTTGACTTTTTTGAAAAAAGCAAAAAGCCTGCAAATGAAAGATGAGGCCTCTTTCTACCTCAAGGAGATGGAAAACATCACCTTCAAAAGTAGCCATTCTCTGAAATGTAGACTATTCAGTTCAATCCAGACAGGTCACATAAATTAGCGTTTGAACCAAAGTTTATTTAGGAACTAGACAGAGGTCTAGTTAGAGCCCTGGGCCCTATCTTGTGAAATGAGAAACCAATCTTTTTGGACTGACAATCTGTTTTCAACAAAACACCCCCATCCTAACTCTTTGGAATTCTAAGACACGACAACTGAAGGAGGAATCTAGTCTTGCAATTTGTATGTTAGAATGTCTCCAGGGCTTATTCTCAGGCACCAGGTTTCTACTGTAGTCCTCTTTCTTGGAATGGTAGAAAGGTGACTCAGTAACACCTCTACCCTTTTTGATGTCTATCCACGTAGTTTCCGGCGACTCCCCATTCCTTTATGACCACAGAACCACATCCGCCCCCCCCCCCCAAAAAAATACAGAATTCAGCTTTTGGAGAATGTCAGTATTTCACAAATTCAGGTCATGTTTCTTGTCCTCATGGCTGTGAATACAGGCTTAAAATCAAAAGTGGATCAACGACTTGCAGATTTTTTTGAGCATGAGAGAAAATGGCAGAAATTCCCTCTTCCCCAGCCCCATAATATTAGAATTCAGCTAACTGGTGGCAATATGTTCTCCACTCAAAAATATAATAATTGACAAGATCAACAACCATCGGCTTAAAATTACAGAGAAAGGGGTCTGTGGGATTTGGAGCCCCTTGGGAAGGAGCAAAGGAAATTGTCTTTCGATCAGCAGATGGATAAACCGTGCAATTTGCTCCTGAAGAGGCTGTGTTTGCATAACTTCCTTAACCCTGCTATACAACGCATCCTGGCTTAGCCAAATTTAAGCAAAATCCATATTATGCCTTTCCAAGTTGGGTGAACGAGGCCATCACATTAAATCTTTCGTTGGTGAGTTGTGTACTCCATAAACCCAGCCATTGTGATTCCTTAGCCGTGATTTAGAGTTTAGGAAGTAGATGGCTGCCCCGCTGGATAGTTTTAGGCTGGGACTAAACAAAAGCATGAAAGAAAAGGGCACCACCAGGTAGTCGTAATGATGGCTAACTTGGACTTTTGTATTCTGTTCCACCATCTCAGGTGGAAAGATGTGGTTCCTTGTGTTGTATTATTATTATTATTATTATTATTATTATTATTATTATTATTACTACTACTACTACCACCACCACTACTACTACTATTAGGATCAAACTGGTACACTAGAAAGCCTTCCCCAGTACCATTCTTTTTATCTGCTCAATCACCATAATTTTGTCTTATTAGATGATGTGGCCCCTGTAAAACATTTTCAGTGTGGCCTTTGGCCACTGCTGGCCCAGATAACTTTGGACTGATCCCAACAGGTTCTTTCTTACTTTTCTGACCCCAGGGTAGGCAAGATGGCGCCCACGGGTACCCACTCCCCTGGGGTTTCCTCTCATAGCATCTCTTACCCTCCAGGCCCAGCTTCACTTTTTCTTTTCTTTTAGATTCATTGAAAGCTGAAAGGGAGGCAGAGATGCGGCTCCCCAAAGAGGCAGCCGCTCGCCACCTCTTCCTTGCAGGGGTGAACTGACAGGCCCAAGGGCCGTTTTCCCAAAACAAGCCCAGCTCAAAGTTTGCAGCAGAGCAAGAGAGCAGGGCTTGTCCCTGGTTACCTCCCCCACCTGATCTTCCTGCCTGGAAATGCTGGGGGGGGGGGGGTGTCAAGCTGACCTCTGTGGCATGGGAGAGAACTCTTTCCTACTCATGAGTAATCCCAGGCCTCTCTGACCGCGTAACTTGGAAACGGAGCACCGGGCTGGAGATCTCACTTCATCCCACGTTGGCAAAACGCATGGATCTAATCAGTGGGGTGGTGGGGGGACTTCCTGGCAGATGGATGCCTGGAAAAAAATACAGCAACCCCCCCAGCCCTCCCCCCCTCACCTTGCAGCTGGGCCGAAAGGGCTTCCTGTTGCTGTTTGAATTTGGACGCAGAGCTTTCGGCAGCCTTCACCTTCTGCTGGAGGTGGTTGTACAGAAGAACTCCTGAGCCCAAGCAGGCTAGCGCTAAGAGGCAGAATCCCGTTTGCAGAACACCCTTCTGCCTTCGGGTGCAAATGACAGTGCCCATCCTGGAGACCAGCGGGTTCCCCCCCCTTCCTTTCTTCTTTCTCAAATGTTCAGGCTGCCATCCGGTCGAAATTAGGCACCCAAGATGTCCTTTTCCTTAGGCTTCGGAGCTTGGAAAAAGAACCGCTAAATCTTCCCCACTCTCCTTGTTGGTAGGCCGGGCAATTCTCATTCTCAGCCAGGAGGAAAGCAGAAAGGCATTTGCTGGCTCCAGTCAAAACAACGTCTCTCTCTCTCTCTCTCTCTTTCTCGCCAACCTTTGGAGTTGGAAAAGAAAATGGGAGCAGTTTCTTCTTGTTCCTCTAAAGTAGTGGCTTCTTTGCTGGAGTGTTTTTTCCTTCTCGCTCTTCCCTGCCCACACGTGCACACGCATCCAGGTGTGTGGACTTGAGTGCAAATAAAGCCGAAGAAACTTTGGTTTTCCTGGGGCTGCAGAAGAGGATTAAAAAAAAAAAATTGCCGTCAGGACAAAGCCAGCAAATCAGGAGAATAAAAGTTTCTTGACTGCTGGGTTCCTGGACGCCCCCCTTCCCATCGCAATCCTTTCCGGGTGGGGGGAGAAAAATAGAGTATGTTTATAAAGGGATCGAGGGGCGAGTTATTCCGCCCGCCCCTCAGCCCCTCTCCGTTCAATTTGCAACAGGAGAAAAAGAGGAATGAAGGGAAGTCTGGAAATTGACTAGGAAACTGACCGGGAAACCTACCAGACTTCCAGGCTGCTGGTTTCTTAACAGATGATGAATCGCTGGAGCCCCCAGCACGGGCAGCTTGAAGGGAAGATGCGATCGTGGGGGAAGGCGTGGAAGGCAGGCGAAGGAGAAGGAAGAACAGTTTGGCAGTTTGGAGAGAAAGAAGGATGCGGAGCTGGGCGGAGTTGAACTAGGAAGGAAAGGGGAGGCGGTGGGAGAAAGGGGCCGGACGTTGAAGGGCTGAAGGGAGGGGAGAAAACGCGGCCGCAAGTTGCGAAAGACTCCAGCCCCAGGATGCCTTAGGCACTCCTGGAGGTGGGGGGGGGGGAACAAGGAGGGAAAGGGGAGGCGGTGGGAGAAAGGGGCCGGACGTTGAAGGGCTGAAGGGAGGGGAGAAAACGCGGCCGCAAGTTGCGAAAGACT